AAAAAATGGAGTAACATTTAGTTCAACTGCCTTGACATCAGGGTTCTGTACGTGTAACATAACAACATTTCCCCATGTGTTCTGTCCAGACCAGAGTCAGGTGGGCTGCAGGGAGCTAAGATCCACCAAGTACATCTCCGATGGTCAGTGCACCAGTGTGAACCCCATTAAAGAGCTGGTGTGCGCGGGGGAGTGTCTGCCAGCCCACCTGTTGCCCAACTGGATCGGGAGCGGCAGCTACACAGGGAGGTACTGGAGCCGCCGCGACAGCCAGGAGTGGCGCTGCATTATTGATAAAACTAGGACACAGCGGATCCAGCTGCAGTGTCAGGACGGAAGCTCGCGCACCTACAAGATAACAGTGGTGACCGCCTGCAAGTGCAAGCGTTACTCGAGACAGCAGAACGACTCCGGACACAAGGACACGTCCGTTTCCGGCGGCAAACAGAGAAAAAACCCGAGGAAGAGTGGACAACCGGAAGAGAAGGCTGGGAGACAGTCTGAAGACTGAAGTCCGTGTATGAAATGTACAATTATAACCAAATATTTAAAAGTAGTAGAAGTAAAAGAGAATAGTATTGACATAGATTGAATTCATTTAAAATATAAAAGTACAGCTTGGTAAAAATAAAAAAAAAAGTACAAAACAGTTTATGATTTTTTTTTATAATAGTTTTTGCCTCGACTCATGCTGTTTACCTTTAGTCCTCAGGCAAAAGTTTTGTACATAACACCAGAACTATAAAGGCATAGACATAGATGTTATAAGCTGCTATACATTTGCATGGGCGTTCATGTTCAACAGTGATTATTTGGTAGTCTATACACTTAGTCTCATTTTATCATATTCATAAAAACATAACTTTTTGTTGAATTAAATGTATAAAAAAACTTTTTCGTGTAGTTGTAGTATATTATACTTATATGTTTATGTGTATATGATGTTTTTTTTTATTATTTTATTTTGGTACCTACCTCAGTCGGACTATTCTTTATTAAATATACTGGGTCCCTCACACACTGCTGTGTCTCATTGTTACCTGTGAGTCCCCACTACACACAAACACATGCACACGTGCACACACACACACACATACACATATTTACACCCCCGGGGGAATGCGTGTACTTTTGGGGGTTTTCATCAGTTTTACCTCACAGCGTTGTTATATAAGCATGGTAAAACACAAACTTAACAGTACAGTACACACAACATGCAAATCCTAATATTAGTTTACAGGGGATGCAGTATATTGGGTTTTTTTTTTCTTATGATGTGTGATTTATTTTTGTACAAATTTCTGCTTTTATATTTTTGGTATGAAATAAACTCTTAATGTCAATTTGTTACACGTGTAACTTTTTTTTTCTGAAGTAATCCAGTAGAAAAATGAGACGTCAGACGTGTACTTCCTGACGAGAGAGGCTGAGATATTTACTGATGAATGTTCTTTCAATGGTTGCCATGCTTTTTTTTTTTGTGTGAAGTGAACACCTTTACCTCCAGGCTCCTGGGGCTTCTTCTTGTTGCGGCAACATAAAGACCTCATATTGTTTCATGTTTTTGCCCCGGACGCTGTGGGCTGTAACAACAGGATGTTCATCTTATGTTACCCTGTGCTCAACATGTCACCCTGATGTACTTTGTAAGCCGGAGATTGAAGACACACTTACAAACATGAAAATGTGTTCATAGACAATAATCGGATGAAATGAGTGATAAAGTAAAAACGAGCTCCTGCCTGCTAAACGATACGCAAACGATTAGCTGATCGCACTTTTACGTAAGTATAATATTCTTATTGGCAGAGGTGGAAAAAGTACTAAAAATGCAATTAAAGTAAAAGTATATCTACTTTGCTTAAATTCTACTCAGGTAAAAGTACCCATCCAAAAAGCTACTCGAGTAAAATTTACTTTGAGCAAAAGTTACTTAGTTACCTTAATTTACTCGTTGAAGTTATCGCCTCGTTTTGCGGGCCTCGAGTTTGACAACCACGCCGATTGTTGGAGGTTCGTTAAAATAAAAAAAATAAAAAAACAGCTTTTAGACTTTATTAAGTAAAGGGATATGACTGGATTCTTTTGGAATTAAGTAAAGTAGAAAAACTGAAGCCCAGCAACATATGACCTATGGACTGGTCCGCAGACCTGGGGTTGGGAAACCCTGCTCTACACTGTTCTAAAAATCTGATATTAACATTCATGGTAGCTTCACATAGTGGCACTGTATGGGGAACCCTGACGGATAGGAGGCCCAAAAAAATATTACCATATTTTCTACTCTAAGTCGCTTCGGAGCAGTAAGTCTCATCTCCCAGCTAGAGTGCCCTCTAGTGGCTGTCAGTGTGAAAATAACAAACATGTGCAATTATAAATTTAATATATAAGTCGCACGTGAGTATGAGTCGCAAACCCAGCTAAAGGATGAAAAAAAAGTGCAACTTATAGTCCGGAAAATACGGTAATTTATTTATAATAATACTGTAAAATATCGCTTTCTTTTGTAGTGTCTAACAGGCTGGCATCGAATCAGTGAATTCTGCATGGTATGTAGAAATACATTCAAGTGTGTTACATTGTCACATCCTTCTCCCAGAATTCCTGGCTGCGCTTGTGGCCTCACATCTATACAGTTCTCTCCTAATCCCTGATATGAACCCTGGGTAATTTGTTGGACAATTTCGGTCTTAAACCTGGACTTTAGTGTTCCTGTGGTCATGTGATGTTGTGACACTATTAGGGGAAAACCACAATATTTTCCATGCCCTTCCCAAGTACCTTTTGTTGGGAGACATAACCACAGGATACTCATTGTACCCACACCTCATCTCTTTTCCAATGCAGGGGGACCTAAGTTCAGGACATGACTCACTGGAGGATTCAATACACAAAAGGACAGTCACCCAAGATAAAGGGTCTCCAAAACCACAGCACAAAGTACAAAAAATGCACACTGGAAAAAAAAACACAAGTGAAATGGCTAGGAGCGAACACGTAATTTTGGTATCGAGAGTGAGCTCACTTGTATCTGTGGTTTTTCGCACCCACTTATCCAATTCACTTGTGCCAAAAAAATTTTAGTGGATCAAACTCAAGGCCCGGGGACCAAATGTGGTCCGACAAGTCATTTTGTATGGCTCATTTTGGCTCGTTGACAAACTAGTTGACCTGTGACGTGCCATGTTGACCGGTTCCGAATAAAAAAACAGTTAGTGGATCTGCGGATAAAGGGGGTGTCTAAAAGTAGCATGTCTACACACAAGGCAGCAGTTGATTCGATTTAATATTCTGTTATGGTAAATATGTTATGGTTTGTATATATCGGGGGTGTCAAACCATAATATAATTACCATAACATTATAATAATTATATAACATAATTATCTATAAATAACAATAAGTCATTTTGTTTTGTTTTCATGCAAAAAAGTACAGGTATATTCGATATTTATTTTATTATGACTTTGTATTTATATTCTATTAAATTAAATGAATATAATATTATTTTCAAAATTCATCAAGTGGGCCCGATTGCACACCCTAGCGGGCCGGTTTTGGTCCGCGTGCCGTATGTTTGACACCCCCGATCTACACAAAAAAGGAGTCTCCACCTCAAGTGTTAATCCTCCTCTTCCCCGTACTATGAATAGCAGGAGAGGATTCTGTTGTTCTTTATATCAAAGAGAGAGAGAGAGAGAGAGAAGAAGCCACATCAAAAAAAAAAAAGCAGAAATTCGTTTCAGTCAAACACGCTGGATTGAAAGAGAGGAAAGAAAAAAAAAAAAAAAAAGAATCCACACAAACACATGTTTTATTCCAGAGTCCTGAGGTCTGGAGTTGTGAAAGGTGTTGCTGCTTGGACGTCTCTCTACATGTGTGTTCTGCAGTCAAAAGCCCAGGGAGGCAAAGAAAATATCATCTTTGTTCCTCACACACACCTGTTCCTCATTCAGGTGGGGGTTGTTAGTTTAAGAAGTGCGGAGATGAAGGAGCAACAACAAAAGAGAGCAAACACCATCGTTTCAGCTTGTCATGTCAAAGGCATGCTGTTTGCTGTACACACACACACACACACACACACACACACACACACACACGCGCGCGCGCAGCCACAAATGCACACCTGCACGTTGTGCACGTCTGTGCGAACCTTCAGATTAAATGACTTCAGACGTTAAACCAGTGCTAAACACTGATAACTGTCTACTTTGTGAAATTTGTGATTTTCAAAATAAAACATCTTTTTGACTCGCCGGCCACAATTCGGGGGCCCGAATCTGGAACTAAAACAAATTCATAAAAGTCATAAAAGCTAAAATGCTAAAATGTTTTTAGCCTTTTCTACGCCATCTATGGAGAAATGCGGGCATTGCAGGAAGAAGGCAGAGGTATAAAGATTATAGAATAATAATAATAGAAATCAATAACATCATTTAGATTTTGTTTAGCGGGCCGGATTAAAAAGCCAAACAGGCCGCATCAGGCCCCCGGGCCGTAGTTTGCCAACGCCTGCTTTCTTCTGTTAGTATCAGAGTCTGAATGGCCTTGGAATGACGTAAATTAGTCTTTCACCGTGTCCCACCGCGGCCCGGTACCAAATGACCTACGAACCAGCGCTGGTCCCCGCACCGGGGGTTGGGAACCCTGATAATATCTGGTGCATTTAACTTACATTTTTAGCTCTTCTGAATTTAAATTTCTTGCAAAGTCATTGTTGTGTTGGGGGGGAAAAACACAATGGAGGGACACGTCTCTCGGCTGGCATGGGAATGCCTCAGGATTCCCCCCCAGGAGAGGTGAACAAATGGCAGTGGAGAGGGAATACCGGGCTTCTATAGCTAGGCTGCCTCCCTCGAGAGAGAGAGAGGACCTCCGATAAGTGGCAGAAATAGATAAGTGTGTTATCTTTTCTTCTTCGTGTCATAATAAACCACACCGCCAAAGTACTCTGTCCATTTAACCTATCAGGAAAAAAGAACAAAAACAATGAAGTAGAACAGGAATACTGCGGTAGATAAGCTTCCTTGACACAACACTCACAGTGGCCAGGATTCAAACCATCATTCATTTGATCACAAGCCTCTATACCATACGTGTCAAACTCAAGGCCCGGGGGCCAAATGCGGCCCGGCAAGCCATTTTTTGTGGCCCGCGGGAGCTTAAGAGGCATTTAATAAAAGTCCATGTAGCAGAATTCTGGTAAAAGCGGAATCCTCGCCATGGTCGTTGGGTTAGAGGTCGAAACTAGGAATGTGCGGTAATATCGGCCAACCGATATTTGCATAATTATGTTATATCTGTAAGAATCGTTATCAGCTTTACCGCCGATGACGAAAGCCCGATAACGCAATGCCTGGGTTTCGCCGAAAATGCTGGAATCGCTTGTAGGGTCCTGAGACGTTTACCGCAGTTTCAGGGGGAAAACGGTTGGATATATCGGTATCGGTTGATATCGAAATCGGAAATTAAGCGTTTCGGCATATCGGATATTAGCAAAAAGTTGACCCTCATTATCAACACTACATTTCCTACGACAGGCTAGTTTTACAGTAAGGTACTTTAAAGTCCAATGAGGATCTTTTTGGTGTTTGCGTGAACAAATTCCACATTATTGACCGATGACCGTAACTCTAAGCTATTCCATTACGGCGAACATTAAGGGTACAGGGTTTCCCATACACAAGACACAAGTTTTATTGTATGCGCGCACACACTCACAGCCCCGAAGATGAGGAAACATAAAAGCTGCGCTGTTTATTCCTTGTCAGGTATTGGGTGACAGTACGACATGCTCAGAGAGCACTGGATAGCCTTGGTGTGCTCTCGGTGATCTCATTTGTCAGGAAACCTGCATTAGCAGCCGGGCCCATTCTAAGATTTCAGTTCAAAGCGGAGGTGAGAGTACTCGGACGATGTTTACACGCTTGCGACGTGTCGCTGAAAAAAGACGCATTCAGTAAAATAAGAAATAACGTTATATGTGTTTTCTGGATGAGAAGAAAGATCGATTGATCGATGACGTCTTTTTTTCTTTTTTTTTTACATTAAAGCAGAAGGAAAAGTGTTGCAAAGTGATGGGGGGGGGGAGGCCCATTCTAAGATTTCAGTTCAAAGCGGAGGTGAGAGTACTGGGACGATGTTTACACGCTTGCGACGTGTCGCTGAAAAAAGACGCATTCAGTAAAATAAGAAATAACGTTATATGTGTTTTCTGGATGAGAAGAAAGATCGATTGATCGATGACGTCTTTTTTTCTTTTTTTTTTACATTAAAGCAGAAGGAAAAGGGGGGGAAGCGGTCACGACCGTTATTTCAGCGAAATCCTGATTTGACGAGATTTTGCGAGCGCTCCGCGTCGAGATTTTGTTTTGAAATCGAAGATCTTCGCCGAGACCCCACGAGCCTTGGCTCGGCGGGGTTGAGGATGAGCTCACCAACATGATCTATGCATACGTCCATCATCCGAATCATACAGTGGCCTGACAAAGCCTCCCCTGCGCCTTCATCCTGCCGAAACTTTGCCCCTAAGACCTGAGGTGTCCTTTTACACGCAGTTCCCAGGACCCTGTGACAATGACTTTTACTCCAGCTGTCCTTGTCTTTCCTTTGATACCACTGAAAATAAATCCACTCCAAAACTGTCCAATAAAGGCCCATGCCTTTATTGTTGCACAGAGGTGTGGAGTGCGCTTTTTTTTTGTTTTTTTCGCACTCAAAAATGAGCTCCAGTTACCCCAAAAAGCTGTGTTTGTGACATCCCATCATCAAAGTGGAGGTATGGATAAGGGGAGATAGAAGAAGGGGGGGGGGGAAAAAAAAAAAAAACCTGGGGGGCTTGTAGGGACATAGTCGAAGTTACTTGATCCCACAGAACATTTGCTAATTTTTACATCTCAAAACCGGAAATTTGAGATCGGGCTTTTATGCTGCGCCGCCGTCCAGTGTTAGTGTGACACGCGGATCAGGGGATAATGGGCTGGAAAAATAAGGCCGGGGCTTGAGTTGTGACTCTACTTACAGTCAGCATGACAGCGGCCATGCTCGCTGCTTGTGCCCATCACCCCACAGTGACAGATGTCGGGGTGCATCCACGGGAGCGGAGCGCTGGAAGCGGAGAACAAAAGGGGCTAAAGGAGACGCGGCTCGGGTGGACTGCCGAAGGACATTCAGCATGTGTGAGAAAGTGAGGCGGAACAGTAGTCTCTCCTAATTTTTCAGCACTGACCAACATCTGTCTTCCTGTTGTCACACCGTGAGCCTCAATCTTAATACAAGGGCATTTTTCTCCTAAAAAGAAAAGACAAAATGTCAAAGAAGAGAGAGGGGAAAAAAATACAGCAAAGCAATTTTAATCAGGCATATGATTAGAACATAAACATATCAGTAGAACTGTATTTAAATACGATCTTAGACGCAGTGGAGTTTTTCTTTTCTTTCTTGTACAGCCCCACGTACCCCCATGTTGAATTACAGCTTTTGCTTTAAAAAAACTCCACTTCACTTGATCTAAAAACAATTAAATTCCTGCAAAACTGATATTATGATTACACAAAGGGAATGAAATTACAAATATTACCAAAAAAAATCAGGTGTGTCAAACTCGTTTCGGTTCATGCACAGTATAATAATAATAATTTTAAAAACTGCATCCTGAACACTAAGTGTTTGTGTATTATTTTTTTATTTTCAAAATTCATCAAGCAGGCCGGATTGAGCACCATAGCGGGCCGGTTTTGGCCCACGGGCCATATGTTTGCCACCCCTGGTTTAGACAGTGAAAACCTTTCATGATGATGTTTGAATGGACCATTTTGCAATTTTAGTCCTAAGCTTGGAGGAGTGTAAAGAGAGGAAATGCTGCCATCTGCTGTCGGGAGTCCAATAACGTTCCAAAAAGCCAGATGTTTCACTGTAGATTTTGTGACAGGTTTATTTAAAATCTTCTCTAAGCAGTCTCAAACACAGGGGTGTCAAACATACGACCCGCAGTCCAAAAACCGGCCCACTTGATGAATTTTGAAAATCAAAAAGTACACCTCATGTTTAGGAAATTTGTACTTCTGTGCATGAAAACAAAGGGGAAAAACATGAACTTGTTGTTATTTATAGGAAATTATGTTTCGATTATAATGGTCCGGCCCACTTGATATCTAATCTTTTTTTTTTTGGCCAAAAAAAGCAAGTCTAATTACTAGCAAAAATTAAAAAAAATAAAAAAATTCTCACTCTCAGTGTGTCCAATTCAATACTAACATTACGTCTTTGAAAAGTACCTGAGTAGCTTTGGTATCACGGCCAAATTTGGTTTGAATATATACAAAAAAAATTGTGACCTCCTGACACGGCTGGTCCCTCACTGATTGGTTCGGGACACCAACGCAATAATTCTGCCTCAGTCCTGGCCGAAGGACGGCCCCTCTGAAGAGGCAGACGGGCAGGAAAGCAGCTCTGCAGGGCAGCCCCCAGCAGCAGCCACCTTCTCCTCCGCCCGCAGGACCAGCTCCTGCAAAAAGTGTGCCGTCTCCAGCATCAGGTCACTTTCGTCATCTAGTTCAGAGAAAAGACACAGAGGAATTATTTCTATTATTGTTACGTCTTAATTTCTTAATTTTTGGCTACTTTTGCAACATTTTTGGATGGATGGATGTTCGTTATTTTTAACCTTCAGCCGCCAGAGGGCACTCTAGGCTTGTGTCCCAGTATCTGCTACTCCTGTACCACTGAAAATGTACATGTTCGTTATTTTCACACTAACAGCCTCTAGGGGGCACTGTTGTGACTTATATATGTATTTTCCTTCTTTATTATGCATTTTTTTGGCTGGTGCGACTAAAATAAAAAAAGATAAACGTGCACAGATTCACCTCTCAGTTCTTTAAGTCTCGGAGTGTCCTTGTCCAGATCGGCGTCTTGCTCTTGCAGGGACCTGCACATCCTTTTATGCGTGAACCAGTGAAGCCTCTGGCAGTTCAAGCTGCAGTAAGTGATCTTTAAAACAATTCAAAGAAAAAAACGGGAAAATGACGCAGCTCAACACGGAGACTATGGTTGACGTTTCCAAATGACGAGCAGAACTTACTGTTTTACAAAGAGAGCACCTCTTGTCCGCTCCTTTCTCACCGCACGTCACACAATAGTCAACGTCCTCGAACGCCATCTGACCGGTAAGAGCCTGGGTCAGCACCGAGTACGCCGTCGGGTCGTTGCCCTAGAAATCGAGTACAGCGGTAAATGAGAGTCGCGTCGGCAGCGAAGGCCAAAAAGATCAATACTTGACAACCGTTGCCGTCAACCATCACGAGCACCGTTCGTTCTCATGCTTCCTAAACAAACGCTTGTTCTTCCTGGTATTTTCTTCACTTACAATCTCTACCGATGTAAAGCTCCTCACCAGCTGCTGAAGAAGAGTAGCCTCACAGTAGGGAAACTTTCGAATGCAGTCCCGAATGAACCTCTCCTGGTACTGAGGGAAGCCGTCGCTTTCTCTCCCCCTCAGCAGACTGGGAAAACAAAACATCAAAGCAAAATGAAAACAGAAATTTCAAAAATGCAGTACTTCCTTGCAATACATCAGTTTCCCCAGTGTGCGTTTTGTTGACAAAAAACGTGAGGAAAAAAAACTTGTTAACTTCTTGCTTTCGTTAACTTATAGCTATTCCTGCAATGTTTGGTTATGGCCTATGTTATTTTTCTTTTGTTTTTTCCTATCTGCACTCAACCTATTTGATTGTCCAAACTTTAGTTATTTGTTAGCTAATTTCTTATTAGCTATTTCTCCGTGAATAGGTTAACAAAGAAAAAGGAAAATGAAGGTTTTTGTCTTTAGCAGGCTAATGTTAGCATTTGATTAGCTTCCACGGGCGAACCACAATGGGTCCTAAAATGGGTCAGGAGCAGAAAGATGGAACGTTCGTGTGAACTAAAACAAAGGCTAAAATGCTAAAATGCTTTAATATTTATTTTTTATTTATTTTTCGTACAGCACTTTTGGCCCTTCAATTTGTGACATTGCTAAGAAAATAATTTGTGATCTTAGACTGTGACACGTTTAAGAAAATGTCATCCCCACCTCTTGACAAGAGCGTCCAGCTTGTCGTCACATTTCTGCAGAAATACCAGGCACTTTTGCAGTATACAGCTGATGTAGTGCATCTTCATGGCCAGCACTTCGTTCATGTCCTCCTGCTTCACGCACTGTTCACACAGCAGGTCCATCACCTGGTAGCACTTCTCCAGAGCCGACACGTCCACCAGAACAGGGTTCTCTTTCACCAGCATGACTATCTGACAGAGTGCAGGATTGCTTAGACAAATATATATGTATATATGCACTCGACAAGGCAGCCTAAGGCAGAGAAGTCGAACGGAGATCAGATGCGTATATACTGTATATATGTATACAAATATATACGTAGATATATACATACATATACAAATATATACGTAGATATATACATACATATACAAATATATACGTAGATATATACATACATATACATATATGTATATATATA